TACGCTGTGCTGCTAGTAATCGACCCTCTAGCCAGTTGGTTGGAACACATCAGTATCTTGGCATGACCTCACAAATACACTATTCCATCCGACTACACTATTGTGTTTTTTCTTGGCCTCGTATTTGTTGGCGTATTACAATTACGAACAGTTAGTGATTGGCCTCTGCGCCTGTCGAGCTCGCACAAGGACCATTACCAAACCATCTTTGTGGAAAACAATAAAAAGTGATGCACCACGGGGGGGCATACATCAAAGAGTCACTGAAAAAAGGCAAGGTCATCCGCTAAATGCTTACAGACAACGTCGAAATTTGAAAATCTCCTCACTGATGATAAAATATTACTACTAAGATGACACTGCTTGAATTTAGCAGTCAAATTTTCAAGTAGCTGGTTAGTGGGGCACTAGTAGTAGTCAAGATAATTCAAATTACGACCTAACTGATGTTGTTGTATGCCTTAAGGTCTCTGGGTATGACGATTCAAAAGTCAGAGTGCGTAATGAGCCAGAATTCAAACAGATTACACAACAAAGTCTGTCATTGAAATTTTTTGAAAGTTTCGAGCAGTAAGCATAATTTTCAAGTTGAAAGAAATCGTATCGAAGCGAGATCAGTTAATAGATGCGAAAATCGCCAGCAGTCACTGAAACCTAAGCTCACGAAAATCAATAAGATTGTACTGTCCGAAATCTTTACTTTTACTTCAGGCTAAGAGAACATATACCGGCATTATTTATCATGAGTAATGTTCACAGCGCTAATATGGTTTGCGCACTACTGCTCCCTAAAACTGGTCACCAGAGAGGACATCACCTAGAGACGCTGAAATTTTGAACTTCCGGAAGCCTTCTTCTCGAAACAGAAGGTACATTCATAGATTTCTTCCACAAAGCAACTTATTTCCACACCTTTTACGAACATGTCAAATAGAAAGAATATAACTACACAAGACTTTAACTCACATGAACAGATTGAGGTCACTCAAGAAACGTTTACTTACATCTGTCGACCGAAAATTAACCCATGTTTTTAAAAAAGGAAATTTGTTTTTCCGTATCAATTCTGGTAGTATTTTCGTTTTCGACCGCGCACTTTGAAGTTAATTATATGTTAGGCGCGACTTTTGTTGTGGTTTGTGTGGTAAGTTTTATCCTCTGAGTGTTACTCATAAGCTTTTAATACCTTGTTACTGTGAATTTGTGCGATTTTTGTAATACATGCAATGATTAAGGTTACAGAATGGTTGGCCAATGCCAGATTCAAACAAGTTAATTTATTTAGGTAGGGTTTTTAGTTCATACAAATAGAGTTAGTCGCGTTGACACTGCTGATGACAACAGGGGAAACATTTATTTCCTGTGAATTATAATGGATATGTAATGTCAGTACACCACCACAAGATTCCTACGATATTACCATTAATATTGTTAAACTCACATAAATAACTTGTTACAATTTATTCACGTTCTTCTCTGATGACGCAGTAATTGAAGCTGCTCCTACTGTTTTGAGTTGGAAAAATGATTATATATAATGTGGGCTATACGAGTGCTTTAACGACTTCACATCACTAACTGGCATAATAGCCTACTGAATGCGAATCGAGTGCGTTCATCAAAGTAAAAACTGATGTTGGTTGACGATTATTGATTGAAAAGCAGATAAAGTCCAAATTGCTGACCTTATCGTTGACAGTCTAGTGTATTGGCTAATATTCAGTAGTTTAATACAACTGACTACCCGTTTGTCACTTTTCGTGACTTGGAACCCTGTCCTAATTAATCTTAATGAAGACAGCCTCCCATATCTGCAGTATAGTTAAGGTGGCACCATACAAATGTATACTGCTGACCAGGACCTTTTCAAACTCAAATAACCACTCAAGAACCTGCGAAAAGCTTCTTAGTGCTCACCACTAGATATGTTTAATCCTACCACTCTTATTTCCATTTTTATCAGCGAGGCCGTAGTTCATTAGTTTAGACAGTTGACTTTCATACCAGTAGGTTACAAGTTGGAACACCACGGTAATTTTGACGCTTTGCACCTAATAGGTGTGAGCGCTAAGTTTGGCACAATAAACGCATTTTGAACGTTGATGTATCTGAATTCATTAGGTGGTTTTTATCACTGGTGCTACTGACACTTATGAGCACTAGTCTTTATTTTGTACGGCTTCCTTGGACGTAATTGTTTTCTATTGCACATCTTTCCCTTTGTTGGTATTTAGTGTTTGACATATCATGCACTGTTATTTTGACTTTGACCATAAGTATGTTTGTCAGCCTGTTTCATAAACAACAAAATGTCTATTCATATTATAACTATGTGTTACAAAGTTAGCAGTGCAAAAATCTGCTTCTGTACCTGTATTGCTGATATGAATGGAGATACGAATAGATATTATGCTTCATATCACTAAGGCTCATGCGAATAAAGTGTGGCAAACTATTATGCTACGTCATCTAGTTCTGTCATGATATAGTGTATTGCAGGTACTATGCATTATAGCAAGATTTTTTTAAAACTAAGTTTTTATTTGGTTGGTAAATGGTTTGGGTAGCTGAATAGATAGTTAGATGATCAAATCTGCTCACGACCTTTTACTCAAGTATGAAATACTAGGATGTTAGGTGATATCAAACAGATCAATCATTATGCACGAAAGTGCATTACTTTTCCTCGTATTCTGAAATCTAGATTTCCTTGTTCAAAACCTTTTTGAACTGATACGAATCAGAGACTGATTTTTAGTTGGATTAGGTATTCGTTTCACATTGTCACTTCTGCAACAGACTGCAGTGACTTGCTATCCTTATTTTGAGGACTAATATCCTAAAAGTAGTCCTAGTGTGAGTTTTGTTACAAGTACTTTCGAGAGACTTAAGCAACTTAAATAGTTCTTCAATATCGCAATTTTATTGTCATATTCATCTGCTAGAATTGTTTGTTGCGGTGTAATATTTTCTCTAGTTTCGTCTATGCATATTTTCATAATTTGGCCTTGGTTCTGATACATCTAAATTTAAATTGATTACACTCAACGGTTTACTTCTAAGGTTTGTTCAAGCTTAAACATTGGTTAAGGTTATGATAAAGGGCTTTAAAATGTATCATGCAGCCACCACCAGTTTCATTATCAGTGTAGCTATAGAAGTGAACACATTCTTGTTATCATTCCAAGCAGCAGCGGTCTGTTAATCAACTAATTATTGATCTGGTTGGCGTTGTTCGCTGGTTCCCCTACAGCAGTTTTCAGAGTAAGTAGGATGATCTTTTGAAGATGCTGGGTAACTTGGATATTCATGTTCTATGTCAACTTTTCATCTGTAAAGTTTAGAAATCGGCTGGTCACTGAAAACCCATTTATTTCTGTTTGCCTTCATCCACTGTATTCCTTATTCATCTGCAGAAGATTGTTTTGGAGTGTACCGCCGTTCACAAAATGCCGTGCCCCTCAGTGTCCAATGTTAGTTGAAGATTGGGTTGGAAGTAGTTTCAAGGTGGTCAGACCAAGACCTGACACCAATCCATGAAGTCTTTGACAGTCGGTCTAAGCCGTGTAACTTAACGCAACACATCAATCTTGTGCACATTCGTGCAATAGGCAATAAGCTATGCTTATTGTATGTGTTGAGGGTAAGTGATGCTACCTGGCTGCCGAAACCTCGGTGGGGTGGTGTCCAAACCCGTGACTCGCTGTTCGGTAGCTCCTCTCAGTCGTGTAGGGGATGTAGGTTACCTAGCTATGACCCTCGAGACGATAGGAATCACTGGCTAGAGAGCTTTGGTGACAGCTGAAAATCTGTCACAGTGGCATAGATGTATTCACTCTGATATCTAGGGGCCGAACATTTTCACTAAACTTGATTTTCAAGTTCCTTCTTCCACACACCTTTGTCAACTTTGTTATTATTTCATCTGCCCAGACGTGTGCTTACTACTGTGGAATGTGGCAGTCTGCGCCGATGCACTTTTGTTCCACTTTAGTTTTGTCCATTTGTTCGTCTTTACAAACTACTTCACATTTCACTAATATAGGAGTAAAACTCGGGTACTGTGGTGGATTCTAAGTTCACTTTAGGTCTGTTTATTCTGTCTGTCACGCAGTGAAACAGTAAAATATACCAGATAACGTCTCGGCTATAATTCATTGTCCATATTCATATAAGGTGAATATGAATGTAATACTCTCACTGTGACAGTTCTAATAGACAGACTAAAGTGGAATTACTTTACATTTCAGTTGCCAGTTTATGCAATATTATAGAACCTTATCCTGGCTTTGCCTCTGTCGTTGACCTTGTTACCACTGAGATTGTCATTCATTCCATCTCACTCTTCTTCTAATTTTGGTAAGCATACCTAACTGGTGCTTAATCCTTGTAGATAGGGTATGATGTAGTTACTGATACAGTCGAGTGTATTCTTGAACATTGAATGTAAAACTTAAGTACTGTGGTAGTGTATAATTCCTTATTAAATTAGTTTATTATAGTACGGTATTATTTACTAGATGATGTTTGGAACACAAGTTATTGCTTATAAGCTTTTCTTTGTTATGACTATGAACCGTAAACGTCACTCAGTAAACAATAGCGTAGCACTGCGTACTATGTTGGCAAACTAATTTATGAAATTAGCCTCAACCAGTGTTCAATTTTGTACCCTTAAATTACTCGTATCCGCTTTTGAGTATATATTTGAAATCTAGTATGTTAATGCTATCGTATTTTTGTGTCTTTGTAGATCAGAAAGCCTGATATTTTATCGAAATTTATAATATCCTGGGGTTGTCGACCATTCGTTCAAGATTTATACATAGATCTACTGTTAGTTAAATTCCTGTAACAACTTCTTTAAGTATACAAGTGTACAAATAAGTTAATTCAACATACTTGTTAATGTGGTACTCAAAAATCTCTCTTAATGAATATTTTGGACCCATCAATTCACAGACAAAAGCAAACTTTTCATTTCTATCTGTAATTATATAATGAGGTAAGATATGTATTCCTTATTGTCGTTAAAATAACCTGCTACTATAATCTTTCTTTTAAAATGACTTACTTGAGTTTTGTTTTTGGATGGAAAATCTAAGCGTAGAGTTTATCTATCAATAACCACTATTTGATGGCAGCCGTCAGACTAGTTCAGTACAAGGTTGTGCTGCCTATCCTGGTGTGTTCATTTTTCATACCAATTATGTACTATAACAAAATGCGGATTTATAAGATGGATGCTTTCCATCAGCATTTCCCACAGTCGTGTCTTTCCGTGACAATAATAAAATATGGAAATAATAACGATTCCCCGGGATCCACATTCTGTCTTTTTCTCAGTTTTACTGATTGAATTACAGGGTCTTAAAAGAATCTTGAGTAACTGTGCTTCAAAAGACATTCTTTGAGCTCGTCAAGCACTTCAAAGCCGCTTAGAACATTAATAGCTTTCTAAAGTTGATGATAGGTGAGACATTAAAGACTATTTAGTACTAACGTCTGATTGCGTGACAGCGAATACCAACCATTTCGATGTTAAGCGCTGGTCGATGACTCACCAATTTGGTTAGAAATGCTGAGTAAGGATGTCTTAAATTGAGGCAGTTACCGGTGCTGATGGATAAAAAATATTACAAAAATATAAGCTCATGATTCACAAAACCCTCAATAAAAATCGCAAACCTCGTTTCAGTTTAGGAAGTTTGAAGGAATTTAGTGGATATCAACATTTTCGAAAATGAAAGTGACATCGTAGTAGCATGTACACTTATGTTGGTTAAAACCATTATGAGATCCAACTACAGTACTTTTACACTCAAGCTTCATTTGGGACCTAGTTTGCAGTACTACTAAACCGTTAATCTGAACTGCATAGATTCTTCAGGGTTCAACATTTACTTGTGTTAAGTTACTTGACTCCCCTTAAAGCTATTTTTGTGATTACTATCGCGTAATTAAAATCGGACAAAACAGTAGGTGTTGATAAAGTTTCTTTATTGATTTCAAGTAGTGGGGTTTTTCCCACTTGAGCACCTATGTTTCGCTTAAAGGCACATAAATGAAACTCCGGCGTAATAAAAAAGCTTCAAGTTACATATCAACTTGTTGGCTCCCATATAGCCCAAATGTACCCAATAGAAGCCGAAAATATGAAGCTTTTATTATTTGTTCACTATTCTCACACTCACATTGATTACATTTGATAAATATACGAATACAGCAGTGTCAAAATCGAAGGTAACGTTTCTAGGTTTTCACCAACTCATTCAGTTTTCTACCAGTGAGACTGTTGGCCCTAGTCATTATTTAGTTATAATTTGGTGAATGGAAATGTTAGCAGCTTTTCTCTTGTGTCCACGTATCATTTACTTAAGATCTAAAAGTGAACTATCCATGATTATTCTGTAATTCGATAAACCATCTTACTACTTATCTTACGTCCTCATGGTTTGGTATCTTCCATTAGTCTTATTTAAATTAATTGTCTTTTGTATTGAATTTTACTTCTCTCTGATACCCGGTAGTAGTATGTCAACCTACTTTTTATACATCCTTTTAGTGTATCAAAAAGGAGTTGATGTCCCTTAAATTGATATGTTATTTATGCACATACGCTGTGTACATCTGTACGTTCATGTCCTTAAAAGTTTGTCCGTCGTGTATCCTTAAGTAAGTAATCCAAAATCTGGTCACGCCTCAAGCATTTACCGTTAGTTTGTTTACCAGCTGAGTTTGGTAGTTAAAGTGACAGACATGAAAGTGGCAGGACATACTTACTGTACAACTGTGATGTTTGTGGACTAGTCACACCTACATCTATTTTAAATTTGGATATGAAACTTGTCGTAGGCAGGCTAATCACTCTTGATTTTATTGGTTTTATTCTTCCTCTTGCTTATGTAAGGTTAGCTTCCGGTCATTTCCTCTAAAACTAGAGTTCAGCATTATGACCATTAAATCGACTAATTCACGTCAGACTTACTAATAGGTTTGATCATCTATGTGATTACATAATTTTTCATTGCCTACTTTTCACTGCATGCAGCTCAGCAGCCATATGTGAGCTGGTGTACTAGACGGCGTCACTTATTTTTTACAGGTGAACTACGCTTCCCAGTTGTCCAAAACTTTGTAGGTTAAGTGGGTTGTGAACCTCCGATCACGTAACCAAATGAATCACAGAGACTGGAGTTTTTTTGTAAAATGTGTTCAGAATACAGAGTAATTAGATATTTTACTACGCGGAGTGTGTATTCTATTTTGAAAAAATTCTAAACTTTCCATATTAAAGATAATTTTCATCACAGGCTGGGATCAACTAGTTAGTGACTGAAAGTCAAAGAGAATTAAACTGCCATTCTGTTTTAATCCAGGGTTTGACAATGTTTGCCTGTAACTCCATAAGGCTCAGTCTTGGACTAGCCTGACCGATAGCTCTTACTCTAAAGTGTTGCTCGGACTTGTATATCGCAATCACCCAACGAGCTATGCTGTTTCTTAAAGTTCTACCGTATCAAAAAAGCCTGTTGCCTAGTGGTGAGACTAGAAGTAGTTATCGTCATAGTGTTGATACCTACTGTGTCATGGGGGTCAGAGCATGTAGTCACACTACTTGCTGTGCAGTGTGAAGACAGATGAGTCAACGTAAAATCTTTGAAGTTGCCACATGGCAGCAACGTGCAAAGAATAAGTTAATAAAAAGACAGTAATACCAAAGTAGACAGAAGTTAGTGGGATTAAATAGAAGAAATAAGTTAAGGTTAGTGGAGATGTTCAAACTTTCGAAGAGTAAATACAAGTACGCCACTGTAACCGATTTTCAGAGAGTTTACCAAATGGCTATCTGAGAATTTTTCGGATGTTCCCGACCAATCAAATACAGATTGTTGCTTGAGGACTGGTGTTTTGTCTAACAGTAGGGATTAAAGTGGTTCAGTGCATTAATGATTTCACTTACTTGGAAAGGCATATCAGCTCTACTAGGCCAGTGATTGCTAAATCCCAATACAAACACGAAGATCAACTTACGCCGAATAGGGTGCAGGTTTTATATCCGCTTACCTATTGAGGACTAAGTGTACTGCGCTGCAGTTCGCTCTGTCCTACTATATGGCTGTTGAGCAATGTTGTTCAAATTAGGGGGTACAGAAAGGCTCCAAGTGTTCGACAGCCGATGTTGATGAGGTTGTAAATCTTCATAGAGAAAAATATCTGAGGCTTGCTTTATGTGTATCTAGTCACCGTCTGTTTGCCTAGTTGTTAGCCGAAGTAAATTTAGGATAGAAAAAGGTTAGGGGTCAGTACATAAAATATTTGCTTGTTGCGTTGAGGTGTGTAGTGAAGTGTAGGTTTACCGGCTGGAGTCGGTGGTTGGAGACTCTAGGCTTTAAATTGATCTCATTCGAACATTCTTGTTTCTAATCGTCATAACGAAACCCAACATTGTTTTTCTCCTTCTTGCTCTCTTTCTACCACTTTCAATTGCTTTCTTCCTTATTTCTCCATCTCTGCATGTCTGCTACCTGGATGTTCTAATATGTGTGACAACATGAATCTTTACTCAGCAGTGCCATATCCCGCGTTAATGCTGAATTGGTCAATAATCACTATTCAGTGATTCCTTTTATGACAACGGCTCTAGTTAGGTGATTTGCACCTGCATACACTGCTCATAGCAACAGTTACTTAATCGATTGGTGCTACGTCCTGGTATAACCGCCCTTAAACTTTCACACCGATCCTACTCCGACTCACATCACACATCAAGGTGGGTGGTGTTTCAGAATGCGCAAAGCGTATTCTAACCACCTCGGTTTCTGAAGGCTCACAACCTCATCGCCTAACCTCGGTACTACTAAAGTGGTCATTTCATCAAACATGATCAATTCTGCATGTATACTGGTGGCTGAAATCCTATAACTTCTTACTGTCAGCATTAAAGTGTTTCGTCCGAATGACCAGCAATTTATGCTGGTACTGCTTCCTCTGTGGGAAGTATTTGTAGAAAGGGTCAACTCTAAAAATAGCAGGCTACTTCCTGCTGTTTGGTTTTCCGGTGTCAGTGTATCGGTTTCGTAGTTCATATTCAACACAATCAATCTAGAGTCTCAAATTTCAAAACGACCGTGTATAGTCGATGTCAAGCAGTTGTCCTTCGGGCTGTGTGGTCACACAAAACCAATCCAGTTTTTCTTTTAGTATTTGTGTTCAGCATCCTTCATCGAGTTGACCAACAAGCTTTACTAGCTAAAACCCTTACATTTCGAGACAGACGTATGCTGTGCTTGTGCGACACGCATACACAACCCAAGTGTTCAAGTGTCTTCATCTGGCCAATACGACGAATTCATGAAATTCACTCTGCTATGTTCTGCATATTCTATGGCTATTTCTCGAGATCTTGCAGATTTCAGCATGCCAAAAAGTGCACTAATCGACTGGATTCCAGTTGACAGTCATCTGTGCTCTATTCATCTGAATGGTGCAGTGACGACTAAAAAGAGTGATGAAACTTGCCGTTATCTCCTTGTAATCTCCGTTTACGCCCCTACTGACTGCAGTGAGGAAGAAGTAAAAGATCAGTTCTACCAAAAACTGTCCAGCCTCCCCTACTAAAAGCCAAACATTCAGATGTGGCTATTGTAGCAGGTGATTTCAATGCACAAGTGAGTAGACTAAGTCAGACAGAAAGATAAAGGTACTTAGATGACACTTTCGGAATTCTAGCCGAAGGAACAGGTAACGGTGATTGTCTGCTATAACTGTGCTCGGACAAGTATCTGTTTCTGGTCAACACAAGCTTCAGATATGAAGAGTGACACTGTCTGATGTAGTGTCCATCGACACAGATCATATTCGTATCAGTTAGTGGCGCTGACCTCAACAGCAGACACATAAATCATATTAGTATTTTATATCACTGGAAATGTTCGACAGAAGATTACCAATCCTCCTAGAGCATGTGTTGGATCAATGATCACGTGTTGTTTTGACCGTACG